CATTTTTTCTATATATTTTTAGTTGTCCAATTAATTTCTTTCTAATTTTAGTAGAGACGGGGTCTCGCTCTTGCTCAGGCTGGTCTCGAACTCCCGAGCTCAAACAATCCGCCCGCCTCGGCCTCCCAGAGTGCTAGGATTACAGGCATGAGCCACCACACCAGGCCCCTAAAAAAGTTTTTTACAACTGTTTTTACATACTGCTTGCCAAGTTCAAAATCTTTAAATTTGTCCACAGAAATATACTTTGCAAGCCCTCTCCGTTGCATGACTTGGCAGGACCAGCCCAATCTTTCAAGTAACATCAGACCTGGGTCCAAATCTCAGCTCTTCTCCTCCCTAAAAATGCGACCTCAGGTAAGCTACTTAACCTCCTTCCGTCTCGACTAATTCCTCTGTAACAAGAGCAGTGCCACCTACAGCGCAACCCTGTTGGGAAGATTTAGTTAAAACATGTGTATCAACAGCAGTACCTAGCATATAATATGCACTCAAATGTTAAATTCTTTCTCTTCTTCCTAAACTATTCTGCTGAGAAAAACGTTCATTTCATACCATAAAAAACAGTGGCATTATGAGAGACAAAATAAGTTTTATACATTATACTTATGTGCATAGGTACAAATAGAAAATGTTCTGACCTCTTAACTTACATACTTGAGTTCAGGATTGTGAACAGCTGGATTCAGGTCATAAAACATCCTGTGTTCACCATCAGGATGAGCTAGCATAGTCTGCACTTTTCTCCTTTTGCTTATTTACCGTATGACAATTTTTAATTATAAAAGAAAAACCAGTTGCCTAAATCTCACGGTTGTTATCAAGCTAGTGAAGGAAGATAGATCAGTTTAGGAAAATGCTCCCTGCAAAGTTGTTTCCAAGTAGCTCTCGAAACACAAAAGACACTTCTGATTATGAAGAGGCCACTTAAGTTACTGGTATTTCATCACTGGGCCAAATAAAACATTCTTTTCCTCAGAATCTTCCATAACAGACATCCCTCCCTCACCTCTTCCTCATCTCGATGAGCCAGAAAAATGCCCACAATGCACAGGGCAAACAGAGAGCTGGCCTTCTGGTCAGTTTCCCAACAATTCTGTCTCTCAACTTCTCCACACAGCGCCCGTGAAACACAAAGTCTGCCGAAATCGTCAGTTAGACATGGGTGTCCTTGGTTTTGATTTTTTGCTTCGTGTTTGCCAGAAGCTATTGCATCACCTACTTTTTTCTTCAGTCCTTAAGTAAACATCTCCTTTCATATAAAACTGACTCCACTTATTCTTCCACAATCCCTATTTGGATAATTCTCGATGTACGCTAGAGAAATGCTTTCCTCAAATCAGTGGTTCTTAAAATGCACATACATGTAATATTCTGAATAGACTTTTAGGGGTTTATGTACCCCTCAAAGCCCAACCACTATGAAAATTGCCCAGTAAAGCAACAAAGCCACCTAGGAAATGTAGAGTCTCCATTACAGTTTGTAATTACGGACACAACACGCAGAAATATTTCTAGTTGTGAGGGTCTCTCTCGCCTTCACGGAAAACGGCCGGATTCAGGAACGCCAGGTCTCCTTACCACACAGTCGGTGAAGGGACTTCTCGGAGTAGGTGTCCCGGTCACAGCCTTTGCCGATGTGGCTGGTCTCCAGCTCCACCGTGGTCCGCACGGAGGCGACTGGCTCGTCGCACGTCTCCAGGTGGATGTTTGGGAAGACCGCCAAGGCGCCCGTGCCAGGCTCATACTCGATCCTGTTGTTCCATCCTGCATTGGTCCCGCGTTCGGCACAGAGGAAGGAAGGAAATCTCACACGTTAGGTTTCTGGGGTGTATCAGCTTTAAGAACGGACGTGAGTGCAGAAGACAGAATGACGCTCACCTTGCCACCCAGGGGTGCAGGTGGGCTTAATGCTGATCTTCACCAAAACATCTTCCGTGGCTCTTTTCTTCCCGCAATCATAGGCAGTGACGGTCAGCTTATACTGATGTTCTTTCCCATAGTTTAACTTCTCTGTGTTTTTTATATAACCTTACAGAGGAAAAAAACAACAGTGAGGGCCAAAACCCATGCTGTTTTTTGTTTTGTCTTGTTTTTTAATTTTATTTCATTTAAAAAAAAGAAAAGAAAAGAAAAGAAAAAAGACAGGGTCTTGCTCTGGCTCGGGCTGGTCTCGAACTCCTGAGCTCGAGGGATCCTCCTGCCTTGGCCTCCCATAGTGCTAGGATTACAGGCATGAGCCACCTTGCCCGGCCAACCCATGCTGTTTTTACTTTTACTGTCCTACGCTGAAACACACAATGCACGTGCTTCAAACCCTGTAAATACTGACCCAGAAAGAAATCTACGCTTGAGATGCTTAACACATGACCTGTCTTACCTGAGCCTGAACACACTACTAAATCCACCTTGATGTGTTTAAACAGAAGGGATGAGTCTATATAATCCGATCTCCAATTACTCTTACAGTTCGACATTTGGTTTTACATTAATATTTAAAAGTTTACATACATATATGGGATCAAAAAGAGAAA